ACTTCCATGAGTTTATATAACATGTTTTTATCTTCCATCAGAAGCTCTGCTGGTTTATTGCTTTTATTTCCTCGTCTTTCCTATTTGTGCTTTCCCAGTCATTCAGCTGTTCCTTCTAAATCCGTGCCGTGCTGCCCACTGCAGAGAAGAGCAGACGGGCTCATCCCTCAGCCTCAACGTTGGTTCTTGCCTTCTGAAGCCACCAGGTCACCCTGCTCGGCACCAAGCACCTTTCTTCACAGTCAAAGCTGTTTCTGCTCCTCTTTCTAGTACTACCYTCCACGCTGGTGACTCAGGGGCAAGTGGCTCCTGAGTTTCCAGAGAGCATTCCCGTTTTGCTGCTTTTTATGCCCTTTCTATTGACCATCCACAGGCCCATAGGCTGGCAAATCTTTAGTCACTCACAGAAAGCGAATGCGGATGTTTTACATTGAGATAATTAGTTCTCAAAATACAGTGTGTTTGCCATTCAGGGAGCTTATATAGTTCTCCCTGGTGAGAACTGCCAAAACATTTTTCCTCTATGAAAGCAGGTACGTGCTGAGTGTGATAATAGTATAAAATTCTGGAGTTATGTTATTAAAACTCTGAACTCCTTTTAATTCTGTTCTAATATTTTGTTGGTTTGGAGTTAACTTGACTGGTAGCTTGAGCTTAAACAAGATGAGGCTTGTGGGGAGAGATTATGCTTTGACTGGACCCGAGCAAGATCRTGAGTGCTGGAAAAGCTGAGTGCTAGTAAAAGGTCTTACTTGTCCCTTTTAACTACATTTACTCATGCACGTTGGAACAGGCCTTGAACACCATGCAGCAGTGCTGATGCTTGCTCTGGAAGGGGTGCAGTTTATGTGAATGTACTTTTTTTCCAGTATTCAATGCCTCGTAATTTTTCTTTTGAAAATTAAATGCCATTCTTGTGGCTTCTTTTCTGAGCTCACTGCCACAGCTGCAGGCAAGGGAGGACGCTGCTCTCTGTGTCTCCCTGTGCTGGATGCCGTGGCCATCCTCTGAGCACCCAGTTCGTGTGTGGAGGGACCCACTAAAGCCTCTCAGCTTCACTTCAGTCAATATGAGCAGGGTAACATTCGTGTGTCCCGTTTAAAACCAAATTTTGTTGGTTGATGATGATACAGGAGATTGAATCAGTTCATCTGGAAGTCAACTTTACAGTCAACTTCCAGAGCAGCAAAAATCAGTAAAGTAAACCTAGGGTTAATTGCCCTTTTTTTCCCCCTTTAATTGTGTCATAGTCCTATTCCATAGAATAGTGATTTATTTTGCTTACATGCCATCATGTTTATAGCAGGGGAAAGACTAGCTAGGGGACTCCCACTTCTGCAGAAAGTGACTGGAGCTCGCTAAGCATTTCCTCTGAGTATTCTCTGTAAGTGAACTGAGTCAGCTGGGTTGGAGCGTGTCTCGTGCTTCTCATAGCCCATGGCTACCAGGTTGTTGGGGTGGATGGCAACTGACAAGGGAAAAAGGAGCAGGAAAGGGGCCTGAATAGCATTTTTCTCACCAATTAGTTCATTTTACCCTAGAGTAACTTTCTTGCATTTTTGGTAGCATATGACCAGGCTGTGCTCCCGTTATTACTTGTGTTGCTCACTTTCACCCGCCTTGTCCAGGTCACTATTTCACTTATTCAGAGCTACCCTCTAACTAAAACTTTGGCAGGCTTCACCTCGAGTTTTTGTGTTTCAAAACATGGGGCTTCCTGGCTCCGAGTCAGAACACAACATAGCATCTGCATGTCAGGCTCCCCAGTCCCGAAGCAGAAATGACATGGAGCACAAGTTCAGGTTAGGGATGCAAACAGGTCTGAGTTTCACCTATTAATTCTGCCTATTAACCCATTAACTTAAAATAACAAACTAAAAATCCTTGAAGAGAAAACCAAAGTGACAAAAGCTCCCCTGAAGGATGCATTGCTTTCTCCAGACTTGGTCCAGTAGTGTGTCAGCAAGTTCACATTGTAGTTTTGTGCAGTACAAAACAAACACGAGGAAATGACTGCATTTTATAGCMTTGTCCTTTTTTTTATAGCTCCATGTGTCTTGTGCAATGCAAGAAATAAACATAAACCAGGATGAYGCTCCTAAGAGAGAAGTTTTGCAGTCCTCTTTCATCCTACAAGTGTTCCTCCAATTCAGTCTTGGATGATTACCAGGGAGAGGAAGATGGTTTGTCTCAGATCTCTTTTCTCAATTAAGGAGAATTTTYACAAAGCAGGGATTATCATGCATTTCCCATGCTTTGCTCCAGTGTGCTGCTTCCTTTTACTGCAGAAGGACACGAGAGATGCAGTTCTGACGCATGCTTGCTTGGTGGCTGTGGGCAGCCAGGGTCTGTGTGGGCTGGTTACGCTTTGCAGGATCTGGCATGTTCAGAAAATGACAAGCTCTTAATTATTTGGATTCCAAATCTAAAATAATAAAACAGAAAGTCGGTCCAAGTTTGGTTGGTGMTTTTGTAGTATCAGGGAAGAGAACTGAAATAATGTCTTTCTGCACACATTAGCYGGGGGCTAAGAGCTCCTTAAAGACTCTTTGGAGGTAGAGTGAAGGACCAAAAATCTCCAAACTTTTGCTCAAGATGAAGGATTTTCCTCACTCTGTAAAACAACCAGGGGTCAAATTCTGTTCTTCGTTCCCCTGAYTTCCTATCAACAAAACTGCCAGAATAAATGAGAGAGATTAGAACTTGGCTCCTGAACTATCTCATTTTATTCTTAGTGTCTAACTATTTTTTTTTAACACCTGCTACTGCAATTGCGTGATCCTTTCTCAGGGCTCCAATTACTAAAAGGAATAATGTCCTTAAGGACTGCTTCAAAGATTGGCAGTAGTTGCAGAAGAACTTTGCAAACTGTTCAGCTTTTTACCCAGAGGAAAGGATTGTCAGGTTTGCAAGATAAAATGTGTGGTGTAGCTTACTATTACTTCTCTTCCTCTCCCCTCTTTTAATGTGATTTCTCTAAGGAAATGTTTTTAAAAGGGACCTTTCAGTTCTCCCGTGCAGATTGCAGTCTTCAAGGGGTCTTGCCATCATCTGCAAATTTAATGGTTTAATAAGGATTAGGCCCTCCTATCATATAGTAACAAATAGAAATACAATACTTTTATCAATATTTGGCACACTTATTTTTTTTTTATGTGAAACTAAATATTGATGCTGTCAAATGACTGTAGCTTAGGGGCATAAATTCTCCTGTGAACCTAGCTCGAATTTTGCATTCATATACAGTAACTACCTAATGTCTTTCTTTTCCTGTAAGCCATATGATTTGATTGCCAGATTACCTGATTCTGTATCGAAATCGTTGTGCTTGGATGTCAGTGTTTTTATTGTTATTACCAATATTAGCTTTTATCCTTACTGTAAATGGTAGCAAAAAGTTAACTGCTTCCCTACACTATAAAAGCAAATAGACCCCATTTAGAGAATGACTCTAAACAGAAAAACTCTCTGGAGAAAAGAAATACTCTGCACACACAATTCCTAACCTATGATGCATGAGTAGGAAAAAAAAAATCATTTTTGATATATTTTGCTACCTGAAACAAAACTTAAAAAAATAAAATAAACTAGCTGTTTTAACAAAAAACAAAATTTGCTTTAAAGAAGAATGAATACAGAAGTGTCAGTTCTCTATATATTTTTACTGATGTTAACCTTTGCATTTAACAAAAACAGGGAAAGTGAGGAAGAAAATCCCTTGGTTTTCATCATTCTGTTACTTTTCTTTGTTCTGTTCACCTGCTTTTCCATTAGCCTATTCCTTGGCTTATTTTCTAATGAAATATCAACCCACCCCCCAAAGGAAACCAGAGCATTTCTGACATTTCAATTCGAGCCAAAGTGCATGTAATATAAACACATGCAAAAGAAAAATGCTTAAAGGCCTTGAAATTAAAGGCAGCGCTCCCGGCCGGAGGGCTGCGTGTGCTTCCAGTGCGCTGTGCTCATCCTTTCCACAAGTATCCAAAAAAAAAGAGAAAAATCATGAAAGGATCCCTGAGAAAATCAGCATGCATACTTGCTAAGGCTTTTCTCATGAATSTACAAGGTTTTAATGAGCTAAAGAGTAAACGGTGGAAGTGATTTTTTCTTGCTAAGCGGAGGAGAAATGCCCTGGGGAGAAGCCTTGGATGTGCCGGGCTGGGGACACGTGCAGGGAGGCCCCCATCTCACAGACGTGCCAAGGGGAATTGCCAGCTCCAACCTGGCCACCAGCTGGGATTTACTCTCGGTTTTACATGATGAGGAGACACTGCTGACTTAGGTGAGGGTGAGCTGAGAACCAGGTGGCGTAAACGCTTTAGGGGCTTTTAATAACAAGTGGAAGAAGGCTGCGTGTTGGCCGAGAGATGGTGTCCAAGTAGTTCAATGTGTTACATGTTCATTCAGCAAGGCCCACGTTAGCTGTAGCATCTATGCACAGGTAGCTTTCTGGGAGCAGGTAAATAACCTGATAGTGGCTTTTCTTATCTGTAATTTGCCTCAAACATGCTATTACTTTTKTATTTGGCCATAGTAGCATTCTTGCTTTTAAACATAAAGCTAAGCAGATGGGCTGATTCCCGCCAGGAAGGGCCTATCAGTGCTCCTATTTACTGTGACTAGATAGGTGCTTTTGGCCTGAGGAGACTCTTCTCCAAGCTATGAGTGACCTGTGGTCTCYAAGCTATGAGTGAGCTGCTCTGGCTGCTGGAAGCACCACCACGGGGAACGCCACCAGTTAGGTGTAAGGAAAAATGGACCAAGAAGATACAGTCCAATAACGACGAAGACCGCCGAGCAGAGCCGTATTTCTGTGTTTATTTCAGGGTATCCACACAGCGAGGTCGTACCGCTCTGCACAAGCGCGGCGCTCGTTATGGCCGTTACGGCCGTTAGGCACCAACGGCCCCTCAGGCGGGGCGGGGCGGGGCGCGCGGCGCTTCCCGCCCTGCGGCCGCCTCAGCGCGTGCGCACGGCGGGGCGCGCGCGGCGGCACCATGGCGGGGAGCGGGACCGGGAGCGGGCCCGGGGAGGCGGCGGCGGCGCCCGTGAAGGTGCTGGCCGCGCAGCTGCGCGGGGCCGAGCGCGGCGCGGGCGGCGCGTGGCTGCTGCGGCGCGCCGGGCCGGGCCGCGGGCCGCTGCGCCTGCGGGCGCTCTGGATGCAGGGCACCGTGGAGCGCGTGGAGCGCGGCGGCGGCGCGGCCCGCCTGCGCGACGAGAGCGGCGCCTTCACCGTGCTGGGCGTCGAGGAGGTGCCCAAGGGGCGGCCCTGCCTCAGCGCAGGTACCGCATGGGCGATGTGGGACCCCCCCCTCAGCCCCCGGAGGTGTGGGGAGCCGCTTCCCAGCGTTGTGTTCCCTCCCCCGAGCTGGGCGGACACCCCCTCCAGACACGTCGTGTCTTACCCCCCCCAACCCCCTGGGGACATCCCTCCCCCCAGCATTGTGTCCTCCCCCAGCCCCGGCGTTTGGGGACATCCCCCCGACACGTAGTGTGTCCTCCCCAAGTGTGGGGAACCCCCCCACCACGTTTTTCCCCTCCCAGAGTTGTGAGGAATTCTGTCCCCCCAAACACCTCATGCCCCCCTGAAGGGTGTGGGGCTCATACACACCTCCCAACACTGTGTCTCCCCCCCCCCAAGCTGTGGGGAGCCCCCGCACGAGAATCATGTCCCCCCATAGGTGTGGGGGTCTCCCCCACAGCACTGTGCCCCCCTTCCCGGACACAGGACATCCCCTCAAAAGTGCTGCGCCCCCCCCCCAAGCACGGGAGCCCCATGTGAGGGGTGCCCGGATGTGTCAGAGCAGGGGGACAGGCAGGCAGGGGGACAGGGACGGGCCATGGCTCTGCCTTGGGGACAGGCAGGGGGACAGGGACAGGCCATGGCCGTGCCCTGGGGACAGGCAGGGGGACAGGGACAGGCCATGGCTTTGCCTTGGGGACGGGCAGCTCCCTTGGCTTGGGGACAGGAGCGTGCAAGCAGGCACATGCGTGCCGGGGGGGTGGGGTGCCTGCGCCACTTCTGTAGAAATACTTGGTTTTCTACGTTAAAGTTAAAAAAAAAAAAAAGCAGTTAATTGAATTCCATGCTTTTTTGTTCATTTGTTTTTCAGGAAAGTATGTAATGGTGATGGGTGTGCTGCGATCCTGCAGTCCTGAGCCGCTTCTTCGAGCCATAAAGATGACAGATCTTTCTGAGAATCCAGTGCATCAGAGTATGTGGACACTTGAAGTGGAGGATTTGCACAGGATCTTGCCCTAGGAGCTTTTTTTTTTTTTTCTTTTCTGCCTAAGAGAATTGGAAATTTATTTTATTTTTGTTCGGTTCTTGTGCAGAGAATCGGGCAGTTCTGGGTATATGTGCCCTCAAATGTAAATTTAAAATAATGTCTTTTTGAAAGTATTTATGTTTAAAGAAAAACAGTATGACTAATTAAACGCCAAACAACAGCCGGTTACCCTTGGAGCAAACAGCAGAGAGAAGTCAGGCTCATGTTCATCTCCTGTTTCACAGGCTCTCYTTTTATGAACAGATGACATTAATTTAAGTAACATTTATTTGCATTCCAGGTAACAGGTCCATGTTACCATTACCATGAGTATTGCATGTTCTTATGAAGGTCAGTTGCTGTTTCTAGGAGCATAGATTTAAATAGTCACTCCTACAGTGATGTATTATTGGCAGCAAACGCTGCACAGACCTTATCTTGCCAGGATAAACTGGATCCTGGGAACGATGGCAGAACATGTTTCAGTCCATGTAGATTGTGGTTGGAAATAGTAACTTGGTCCCTGTTTTTTTCTTTCAGTAAGTAACTGTCTTTCATGACAGTTACAGACTTGTAAGACAGATGTCTCTTTCTGATTGTAATCATATTGTATTAAATACCTGTCTGGTTTCTGTGTTTCTGAAGTTTTGAAAGTGGTGCAGTAATAACCCCTGTGTTCCAGTGAAGTGAAATGAGGTGAAAAGCTGTGATGCAGAATTCCTTGGAACAGGTCCTCCAGGTTCAAGATGCAAATACTTTTACCGTCTCGTGAAATAAGGTTGCCATGCCTAAGTGCACTTCTCTGTGTGAAGGTCTCCTTTCGTGTTCCAGTGTATGTTATTTTTAGCCATTTAAGTCATTATTAAATTTATTTATTTTTTCTCTTTCTTGCTTCTTCCTGTGAAAAATAAATGACTAGAAAAAAACCCAGAATATTACTCTAATTTTTCCAAATATTGTGTTTAAAGGAAATCTGGGTCCTAGGGAAAGCACTACGTTATCCGTATGGTATAGTTTTGTAGTTTGGAAGAAGGAGATCAGCAGTTCATTTAGATGTACATTAGTTCTTGCATGTATGAGGGGAAAATTCCCTCTAATTGTGCTCCATGCAATTAATATAAGGCAAGACTAAGGTAGTGATAATTATATTAGAATTGTAGGGTTGTTTTCAAATCATATGGAAATAAGTAGACCTTTAGGTGAGATCGTTAGAGATTAAGTATTTAAGTATTGGATTTTTTTTTCAGGTATACAATTCCATCCTGGAGCTTAGTATTCCAAACTAGGCCACATCAGAGACAGATGTGTAAGGGAAATCCCATGGTATGAGGCCTCTTTGATGACATGCTGAAACATGTATGTACGTACAGAATTTTGTCAATCTGATTATGCTGGGGGGAAAAAAATCTGCTTGTGGAATGATGGCAGCTCYTCAGAAAAGATCTATGTGCTCAGCATATTGGCTCATGACCATATTTAGCTGACAGTGGATTGGTACTTTCCTTGTGAATGCTGCTTAGGACGGAAGTGAAGCTCATTCAGAAGAGTTCGCCCTGGCATGAATTCTAATGAGGCAGGAAAATCTTGGAAATAAATAAGAGCCGAAAACTCTTCTGCACCCGTACTGGTGGTAAATCTATGGCAGAGTTAGCTGTGGTTTATAGCCCTATCATAGTTGATTATTATACAGAGCAGACTTGGAGAGGCATGGGTTAATCTACTGTTAGTCCATCTGGCACTGATGCATGTACACAGAAAATTAGGTTTACTGAGAGTTGACTAAATAGTTCTGATTTGAATTTGTGTAGGATTCTTTGCACCTTTTAGCACATTCTTTTATCGAGAGGCTCATAAGTCAGTTAAACTTTTTTTTTTTTTTTTTTTTTTTTCCTTGCTTGCTTGCTAACATGCCATTCCAATGCAGTGACTTAACTGTAATAAGATCTGGAGTTCTTCGTTGTTGAATTTGGGTTGTATCGTAATCTGTCTTGCTCTGTATCTGTATTTGATATCTGCATAAATCCAACCATAAATTCTGACTCCAAACCCTTGGAAGGTTTTGCATATTTGATCTGTCTAAAGCTACAAATGTTGCTTGGCAGTTGATCAGAAGGAAACCTGCTCCTTAGCTCAAGTTGTGCTTCCAAAAAGTCTGCAAGTGCAAGCAGTAAAGCCCTAGCTTTTGTTGTTTTACAGCCAAGACTGCATGCTTTTATGACAGTTCACAGTAAGAAGTGCTTTTCTAGGAACTCAAAACCCAAACAAGTTCTTAGGAAAGCTGCATGGTTACCCGCTAAACAAATGGCTTTTAGCGATGGCTTGGAGTTTAACTGGGCTTTACCTGTTGAGTGGCTGCTGATTAGGCAGTGTGTTGCTCTGGTGGCACTTACAGTGCATTGCTAGGTGTTGTGGATACTCCCTGTCCTTCCTGTCAAGCTTATGTCTCAAGTTCAGGGGTAAAATATGGGTTTGTCTGTGATTTTTGTAGAGCAGAGACATAATTAAGAYGTCAAAGGGTGAGAGTGAGACTGGCTTGACCTCTTACATGGGCTGCAGGGAGGACAGGTGTTGGTGATGAACATTATTCTTAAAAAATGATTCATTATTTGGATTTCAATGCTGAAGAGTGCAGGAAAACGCCAGTAGGTTGCAGAAAGGCTCCTGCAGACACAGTGTTCAATCTAGGGCAAACCTGAGTTCACCTGAGTGCCAGGGCCTGCATCTGAGGAACATGGCTAGCCAAGAGTGGGGGGTGCTTGTGTTTTCAGGCTTGGAAATAGTAACACTTGGATAAGTGACCRTGTTGTATTTCCTTCCAAGGACAGATGGTTTGTTGTGTGTGTGTCACTGCAAGAACTGCTTGCTCTATGGCAAGCTATTGCTTCTTTGTTAGGTATTTTAGGATAAAGGCATGAAAAATAGGTTGACTTTTCACCAMTACCAGTAGTGCCTCTGGCACACAAAGGCAGGGTTGGTAAGGCAAAAGTAGGTAAAAAGGATTTTGAAAGCCAGAGCTCACAGCTGCTATACTCAAATTATGAACTGGATATTGAATCCTGTCACCCTTCTCTTCTCCCACAGCAATCGTTATTCTGTTAGTCCTYGTGTTTTGGCTGCTGATTTGATGGCTTATTGTTACCTTTGGTTTGATGTTAACTTGCCAAGGTGACTGCTTGTTTGCACCACCAGGGACACAGCAGGGCTGAAGCTCACTCTTCAACTAGGTGCTGTCACCACCTGCTGGTCACTGGGCCACATGAGCGTGTAAGTAAATAATCTGTGCCAGCACCAGCATGGACCTGCTGTGACATGTGGAGGGTCTGTCAGGTTTGAATCACGGAGATGTGGACACAAGACTTTCATTCACATAATGGGGTGTTGTAGAAGCATCGATCAAGTGCTGGACCGTTTGTAWTTTGAAGTGTTTCATTGTGGTATCTTAAATGCAGCGTGTTGTGTGCTATAGCAATGTCCAGCGCAGCCAGGAGAGCCAGTATCTGCCATCAGCTCACTGCAGGTGTCTGTACTTAGCGTATAAAACAAGCTCTGTTTCTTTWCTCTGTATTTGTGCTGCAGTTGGCATTAACTAGTTGAGAGCTGCAGCTTTTCTCCATTTCTTGAGCTGTTGCTATTTCACTTCTCCTTGCAACTTAACTGTCAAAAGTGGTTTTTTTTCAAAGAGATTTTGCACATATTATGCATATGAAAATTAACTTTGAGAGAGAATAAAGGGACTGTGTTTAAGCTTTTAAAGCATAAAGGTCATCAGTTCTGATTCTCTTTTGGTGTTGTAGCTCCAGACAGAYTTGGTAACTGTTTGCAAATAGAGGTGCACTCCAAGTTGCAGCCAGGAGATAACGCGGCCATGAGATAAGTGCTAGGTATAAGGATGGCTTGGTTCTTAGCTGGGGAATGCAGTAAATTTTTTGGAACTATGGTACAAACCCAAATCTTAATATGTACAGCCAAATACTTGAAAAAATAACTAATACCCCCTGGATGTTTTGGAGCTTATGTTTRTGCCATCATCAGGTGCTATGCACACTGCTGCTTCAGCTGTAATCAAGAAAAGTGTCCAAGTATGTTTAATTGTCTACAAAATGGTGACTGGATAGCACAGATAACAGAGGCCAACTGTTATTTTCTGTCTCTATAAACAGTTTTTCATAGGAGCAGTTTTAAAACTCAGACACTAATTCTGTGGATCAGGACAACTTTATTATTACAAATTATCAGTAAAAATGTAAACAAGTGGAAACAAGTAAAAATTACCATCATTTAACAGTTCACAACTTGTAAGTATTCTTACGCAAAAGTAGCTGGAGGTTTTGTGATGTTACCTTTCACTGAGAAATAAGCACATTCCTGGTAGTACCTGTGTGTAAATATGCCTCATTTATGCTGCTTTTTTTCAATCAGCACAACATGGAAAATAATTGAACAGCTGAGATACTCATAAGGTAGTCTTACAGTAGGATATCTATAAATACCTTACGTGAAAGTAAGACAGGTGTAAGTTACCTTTTCCCAGCATGTAAACTGACTTCTGAGAAGATTTTCTAAAAACACAAGGGGAGAGTGTGAAACTGGTAAAGAGATACTAAGAAGGCTGTTTCTCTTAACAGTGTGCACATTAATAAGGGAAAAATCAACTAGGAAAAAAATGCGAAAATGGTAAATGTTTTACTTTTTTTTGTGTAGTGATGTCATTTTTATCTTGGCTTTCCTGCATGTTGGGGCACTTCTCTGGAAAACAGGTCAATTTCTCCAGAAYTTACTGATAGCTGAGTTTCAGTTCCAGAGAATGAGAGAGCATTTCTGTGCAGCTTTAAAGCCAGTGTGCTGCTTTCACAAAGCAACCACTTGCACTAATCTGAGTGGGGAAAAGAATTTTTTGCTCTTTTAAGTGTATTCATGCTATGGCTCGGTCCTTATGAGGAAGCAGTTTTGCATTCAGTTTTGCAACTAAATAGGGAGGCCGTGTGTAAGGGGAGCATTTGTTTAAGTAATTAATTGGTATTTTCATGTCCAGTTTCTTCTGACTGATTATAGTTGCTTGTCATTGTACTGAAATTATTACTCTGTCTCATGTTCTTCTGTGTGGAACTGTTCTTTATATTCATAGTCATAGCACTTAAAACACATTATCACTTGAGCTGGTTTTCCTACTGCTGCTTCTAGCTGGTCTGCTGTTTATTTTGGATGCTGAAAGGTCTTCCTTCTTTGGGGCTGCTCTCTGCCATTTAGAACAAGTTCAAGCTAAAACGAGAGAGATGAAATCCACGTTAAAGTGTTTTAATAAACTAATTACACTGTCATAAAGAGAAAAAAAGTACTTTTCTGAAGTATTTCTCAGATACAGCTKTTGTTTTCACCGTGTGACACAGTAATCTATTACAATGATGACTAGCCTGACCGTTACTAACTCTTTCACAGTATCCAACTTAATTTCATTTTACTGCAGTTTGGGTGTGTTAGCGCTTCCTTCTCTTCAGCATCTTTACATAACTGAAGACTTAACTCATGTCTCCCCGAGYCCTTCCATCCTCCCTCACACACAAAGATGAACTTTAGGATTTTCTCAGCTGGCGCACAGCTTACCTGGAAGGCAGTGTCTAAACCTGAATGCAGAGAGGGAGCTGAGAAGAATAATGGTTTCGTGTTTTGAAGATTTTTATTCATGTGTATTCCCAAGATACCTGCTTATTCTTAGGAACGTGCTCTTCTCCACTCTGTTTCCTCAGAAATGCAATAATGTAAACTAGCAGCATTAGCTGATTTCATTCTTTTGGCCACTGAGCTCTTCTAACACTGCTTATGACACAAAATCAACTGAATATTTAGGTTCAAATAAAAAAAATATTTACACACAGAATCACCGAACGGTTGAGGTTGGAAGGGACCTCTAGAGATCATCTAGTTGAACCCCCTTGCTCAAGCAGGGACATCTAGAACATGTTCATATATTTGTAGGTTTATATAAACTTYTGGAGCTTAAAATATTTATTACCTACAAGAAGCCACCCAGATCTGAAYTTCATTGCAGTATACCGACAGGAAGGCCAAAAGCTAAATTGCAAAGCAATAAATTACTACAAATGCAAAAGGTTCCTTATCAACAGTGTTGCTTTTAGTTTTAGGCTTTCCAGCTTGCTTTACATTTTAAAGAGACTTTCAGAAGATAGAGCTAAAGCTAACTGATGTTAACTGCATTAAAATTAATAAGTTACCAATCGTGTTGGAATTCTAGGAAAAGCTTGAAAATAAATACATCTTATTTAGAAAGAAAAGTAAAAAAATGCGAAAGAGTTTGTGTGTCTGTATATTTGTGCATATATGTGTGTGTGTGTGTGTGTATATGTGTGAAGGTTTATCTATAYTATAGGAGTTACTGATTATATTAACCCAAATAAATTATTCAGATTTTAAAAAAACAGATAGAAAACTAAAATGTTATCTGAAAAGTACAACCCAAGAGGACAATCAGTTAATACACTGCCAGTATGTACCTCTTCTACAAAGCTAATTAGGAGGAAATAAGAAAGCCATTAGGGAGCATGAATCAGAGAGGTTACAGTGTCCTTCCTAGCATAAAGGGTAAGAAAAAGGAGGAGGAAGAATTCCAGGAATAGAATCATTTTTTTGCTTATATGTATAGTCAGTTTTATTAGTTTGATTTTCTCCCTGTGATCTTGATCTTCTATCATATATGGTAGTGGAGCAATGCAGCCAACATGGTAGTGGAGCAATGCAGCCTGTCTCCTGGGGACGTAAGGAAGCGCCACTTACCACTGCGGAGGGATCCCCACGGGGACCAGGTTTCGGGCGCACAAATGGACGAAGGCGGCGGCGGAGCTGCAGGCTGCGCCCAGCGCCGCCGCGCCGCAGCTGCCGCGCACGCACATGCCGTAGAACGGCTCCGGGTCCACCTGAAACACAAAGGGCTTTTGTTCAGCTCGGCGGTAACACAGAGCACGGGGGTCCTCTCCCAGCAGACACCTGCTCTTCAGATGTGAAGAGAAAAATCAGAACAGGCAAGAGCTGAAAACTGAGGTCTGGGCTTGTTTGTTCATTTCCTCCCTCTATTCACAGAATATTCTTTAACTGATTTCCATTTTTTACTTATTTTTCCACATTGCAGACTCATATCCCCCCATACTTGGTAGCTCTCAGGGGCCTTACTTACAGTGCTGTAACACTTTTTTAGTTCTGGATTATTGTTCTGAACTCAATGCTTGCAATAATCAATGCACACAGCTTAGCACTATGGTGCCTGGGCATTTAGGTAGTCCTTTGGTGGCCCCAGCTGTACTTACAACTTTGAAGCAGTTCCTCAGAAGCGAGCGAGCTGCCTTAAAAAACACTTCACACACATTTTGCTTATCCGTAGCAGCGCATGGCTGCTGTTTCTTCTGCACAGGACTGCACTTGTGCACCTGGGAACACAGCATCAAGCAACATTRTTTCTTAAACATCACAATGCACGTTCAACACAGTGAGTCTGCAGGAGGAAGAGACCTGCAGGTCACTGCACTGCTCTGAATCACCTTTATTGCTCATTAGCCTGCCCCAGCTTCATAAATGAAACAAAGTATCTATCTTGCTTATAAGTATTATAGATTACAGCCATTGTTTCCTTTTTCTATTGATTTTGTTATTAAAGTATTTTGGTGGGTTGCTGCTGACACTGTAAGAAGCTGGCTTGCAAGCTTGACTTCTTTATAAATGATAGATTAAAGTTGTGCTTTTAGTAAAACTTTTTGTTGGCGGAAAAATCTGTATATCCTCACTGGGGCATTAATATGTCATATATAGCAAGAAGGCTTTAGAAAAATGTGTAACGGAAGGTCTGTAGAACTACAAGCATTTCTAGTCAATGAAACGTGAGTGACTTCTTTGTTGTATGTGGTTCAGGTCATGTCCTTTACCTTTCCAGTCAAGAGCTGAGGATACAAAATATTAACAGCATGAACAGTGAGCTGCACTGGCTAAAGTGGGTTTGATTTACTTTGACTGTACATTGGATCAGCAGCTTACTATKTATTATCAGTCCTTTCTTTAGATGCCAAAAAGATTTAAAAGACCCATTAGAAAAATATAAATTCAAATTACTGTAATTTAATTAAGGGGAAAAAAATGTTAGTTTAACATCCACATAAACTTCATCCTGAAGGGATCAGATATTTGCAAACTCGCTTTTCTTAATAACCGCCTCAATTTGTACAGCAGCYGGTTTTGTAAAACCAGAACGTCACTGACTATTTCCAAGGCGGAGAACATGATGTAGGCTAAATAGTAATAAAACTCCTGGTAGTGACTTTCCAGGTGGGTCTGTAGGTCAGTGCAGGCTTCGACTCCTACAGTGCAGGAGTGACTGCTTTTCCTTCAGGCTTAGCTACTTGGCCAGATTTCACTTGGTTGCTTCCTTACTTTCWGCAGCACATATAGTTGCAGTAAAAGGTCTGTTCAGAAAGGCTGTTCACAAGCACCCATTTTATCAGCACGGCTCAGTCCGGCTGCTTGAACTGGTTATTTCTGCCATATCTTCTCTTCCTCCCTCTTTAGGATAAAGTTTAAGACTCGCTATGAATTCCTGACTTGGTTCATTTGTATTCCTGGCCCTCGCTTTAATGATGTATGAAAAGCATACATTATCAGCAAGTCAATCTTTTTAATACATATTTTTTCCCCCGCTGAATGGGCTGTGACTACGGGCAGCGCAGAGTTCAGCTGAAGTCATCTATAAATTCTCCCTGGCGCGTGCGGCACTGCCGAGATGCTGCGGGGCGGACAATAAACGTTCCCATCGAGAGTGGAAGCGCAAGCGCTCTGACATCAGCCACGTAACGAGGGGCAGCCTCCCCAGCTTGCTTATGGTGCGCAGTTTCTTATATACTGCTTTTAATTGATCATTATTTCTAGTCAACTTTTGCATTAGGTGCCTGCGTTTCACCACTAGATAGAATGAAAGAAGGCAGGAATGCAGCAGAAGTTAGTGTTTGCAGCAAGCYCACTAGCAGTCAGCCACAGCACAGTCCCATCCCAGCATCCAGAGGAATATCATCTGGAAAAATCACTAGACATAACTCTCCAAAGGCAAGTAAGGACACAAGAAGCCTGAAGGTATCATCCTTTTTTTTAGCTGAAGTACTGAAGTAAAGTTGAAAAATAGCAGTACTTTTCTGCCCAGAATTGAGACATCTTCTCAAGAAGATGCAAGAAGCTGGAGTCGTAAAACCTGAGTGAGTGAGGAGAAGATGCTTCTTTTTTCCTTTTCTTCTTTTTGGAATAGATTCTCAAATCATGTTTCAAGAGATTAGAGGAATAAATAACTTATCACAAGAGCCTGAGAGCACAGCAAGGCCACGTTTTGATCTTGGTCAATTGTATTCACAAACTGATGGGTACGGGTGCACATTTTTACATTTAGATTATCTCTCTTCCCCTGGTTGGTAAGTTCCATGAATTAAGTCTCTTTAAAGCAAAGAGGTATAGAATCTTACTATTTATCAAAGGTAGCTGTAAGAAGCCCTTTTATGCAGGCTAATAACCAAATCAGTTGCAGATAAATATGTAGAACTTTTTTCCCCTCATTAAGCATAGGACTTGATGACCTCTGAGGTCCCTTCCAACCTTCGACATTCTATGATTCTATGATAGGAAAACAAAGTATATAGATGAATTAAAGCTAGATACTACATACTTCAGGTAAGCCAAAACAGTTTGCCTTACGTTGCTCTTCAGGCTCCAGCTCCACCGGTAACGCACACAGAAAAATAAAACAAAACAAACAAAACCCCCCACAAACTTTCAGCCTGTTACCTGCCAGCTTTGTGTGAATTCCTGCACACTGTCAGTGAGGGAATGATTAGGAAGCATCCATTCATTCCCTGCCTCATTATCATTGGTACCGAAAAGCCCAGCTGAAATACCTGGAATGAGATTAAAACAGAGTAAGCGTGGTTACAGTCAGCCACGGGGAAGTGTTAGATGCCRTCTCTGGGCTGACTATCCTGTGTGACAGAGCTCAGCTGTAATGCAGAACAGGGACATGAGGCCCTGCCACACACCATGGAATTTTCTAAAGCAGCACTGGCAGCTGTGGCCATCTGGGCCTTCTGAGGAGATAACAAGGACCTATTCTGCTGTGTGGCTGTGCTGACAGTACGTGGCAACACCTGGTGCCGGTTCCCAGGGTTGTGTGAGCAAAGGTAGGGAAAGGAAGCGCGGGACAACGTGTGCGCTAGGAGCAAAGCGGCCGGCATCGCTGCTCCTCACCGTGGTGCCATCCAGCCAGGGTGACAGTGCAGAGATCGTAGCGAACGTCACACGAGAGGGAAACGCCGGCCTGAGCAGACAGTTCTATCCTGGTGGTTTCTCTCCTTGAATCAGCAGGATACTTTTCAAGGGATTGATCCATTCCTTGGCAGTTCTGTTCCATAAAGGTGGAGTTATGTATCTTGGACATCTGTTTTAAATGAAAATACAGTTTCAAATATTTCAAGTATGTTACAGTGGGAGTTACTACTTTTGGTTATGGACTAGCAGATTGGCAGGTGTCAGTTTTGCCCATTTCCAAGTGAGGAAATGAGAATGGGCTGTGGGATACTCCTGAAAGCAGGGAAGCACAAAGCTTCCCACATGAGGTGTGACTATGGGTCCAGCTTATTCACCATATTTTTGCTCCTGCCATTCTGTTGACCATGTAAGAGGAAAGCTGAAAGGTTCACAGAGCTTCCCTTGTTCTGAGGGAGCAGAGAGAAAAGCAACAGCCCTTGGGTTAGGGCTTCTGTTTATGGGAGTTATTTCATGATGTGGTACTAGGCCTTATTAAAAACTGCTTACTTTCTAGTACTTCTTTGTGCTTTTCTGATCAATATTTGTGCYCGCCCCCTTTTTTTTTTCTTCCCTCTTTTTGGGCAAGCTAATTTCTGGTCCGGAAAGGAAGACTTCTTGACCATCACCTCTTACCTTCAGCCTTGGGTAGATATCGATCACAGTCTGGTTCATCTCCACATACAGTGATCTTGAGCCATTAATTTCCTGGTTCAGTATTACAGTGAAAGTATTGTGAACAAAATCCTTGGCAAGCAGCACACTGCACTTTGATGCCAAATCATAAATTTTTCCATCAAAAGTCACAAGATGCTTGCTCCCTAYTAACATAGCGTGATCTAGATAAAGACATTTCAAGGCAAACATCAGTCATTGACCACTGAGCAGGAACTGTCAGGCTTCCTTGCYATAACAGTAATATTCCTAAAATATTTTTCTAAGCCAAGAGTACATTTTAAGTTAGTTAAAAGTTGCTCCGCAACAGAAATTCCTCCAGAAAGGGAATAATCTAAATCTCCTGATTTACAATGACACTACTCGATACTCCCCCACTGCCTCCAACCACACACTATACATTCCTATTCAGAGGACAGCAGGARCAACAAGCATCCCCCCCAAAAAACCAAACAGCCAAAGCAGATAATTGCACCTAAGAGCTCTGGAGATAAAGCCTGAATATTTGGTCGCTAGGAAGTACTGGCAGTGTCTCCTTCCTGGAAGGAAGCCACCCCAAATGTCTCTTTGTGGAAGATCCATTATCCCCAGCGGCAGTCGGGACTCCTAGCACAGCCCTCAGCATTAGCTGGGCTTTGCTGATCTGCAGGGCTGTCTCTGCAGGGCTTAGCTTTCTGCCCCTGGTCAGCAGCAGTAATTGCACCTTTTCCAAAGTGGGAGAGCAACTTCACCGCAACACTCAGACATTTGGTGAAGCAAAAGGTATGACTGGCATTGAACAAGGACACCCAACTACAAGAGGATAAATAAGACAAATATATTCAACCTGCTGATTTCAACATAGGGAAKTGCAGAATGTCTGTATATTTGAATGAATATTCTTAACTAGAGGAGTGTTGCTAGCAAGTCAGCTTTAACCAAAGCAGGACATATGATTAACATTTATAGATAATACTAGACATGATGCTTATAGACAAATGATTATGTAAGCTGCTATTTGACATTACATTGTGGAATTCGGAACYGAGTGGAAATAGATCCAGCTACAAAAGAGCACTTTTGAAAAGGCTTACGTTCAAAGGGACTCTCCATCATCCTCCGTTTGAATCTATAATACTCTGCAACTATGTTGATGTTGTAGAAGTCTTTCAGAGGTCCCATTACCTTCTCTTCAATGAGATAATTAGTAATATTTGCCAGGTCCAGAGACTGGTCTGCTTTAGGAAGTACTGGAAGTTTTATGGCCACTGAACAGTTCCTATGGAATACAAACAAAACAGCATGTGCCCTTATCTGCTAAGCTGATTCACAGTATGCTGCTCTACTTATTATTAGAAATGTGGAAGTGAAATATTCACCAGAACTGCAGCCAGTTAGAACTGCGAAATAAAGACRTACTGTGGGTAAGAACGATCTGCCAAAAAAGCATGCCCTATAAGGCCATGTTATTACAGCTACCGTTGCTCTGTTTGCTGCTGGACATCTGCTTTTGAAACACAGGCTATGCAGGTAGCTTAGCAAAATGAACATTACRGTGCAAAAGCTCCAAAGCAAAGAATGGGCTGGAACCCCCAGCCCCTACACTGGCATGGAGAATAAAGACACACAGCAGCAGTTTCTCCTAAAGAAACAAAAAACTACCTGGCTGAAAAAYGGTAGAGGTTGAGTAAGGGCTTCCGTATCTTGCTTACGGCTCTCGAAATTGTGGCTTCTGCCCACCTCAGCATCTGATGTGTGGCCTATTGGAAAGTGAGAAAAGCAGATTACAGAACTGACTCTTATGTGACTTTGGAGCAGATTCATACTCACCAGCAAGTTTTAACAAAACATTCAGCAAAACAACATTTTTAGCATCCCTTGCAGATGAAAGCTGCCTGACRGGTAGCACCTTGTTCCCCAGAGAACAGACATTAGTCACCACCACACCAAACAGTGCAGGGAAATACACTCTTCCCAAAACACCACCACTAACGTGTACCCATACTCACTGAMTTAACGTACTACACCAGCTTGCAAAAGATGGCAATCTCTGTCAGTATGGTCAGTACCACGATAAATCATTTAAGCTCCTCACTACAGCCAGAAGAGCCTAATCCTGTTCGTACTCTACTGATTGGCATCATCGTCCCTCCTCGCTGGGCAAGGAAAGCACCAGCTACGTGAACGACTGGCCACTGCTGTTGTCATTTCTGTGGGAAGTAGCAAAGCCGAGTCCTCCAGCTGGAAAAGCACTGCTGTCAAAGCAGGCCAGATGGTTCAAGAGCAATGTATTTGCTTTTATGTGGGAAGATTATCATTTTTAAAAATACAGTATTTGGGGGCTAGTTTGGGTTTTACTTGAGAGCACATGAGGGTATCTGGCYCTGCAGAACTACACAAAATAGACAATAGCTTCAATTAAGAATCCTCATAAATGGTCGGGGGGGGGGGTGAAAAAAAGCACAAGACAGCACTAGCATTAAGTCACATAGGTAAAAGAGTGCACATAGTGTGGAACTTCATTAAAGGTTTCTATTAATTTCCCTAGCTAGATCTATCTATAGGTCTATCTGTCCATCTCTCCACAGCTGAGACTTGAATTCACAGGCCTTTGCTTTAAGCCATTAAAACGCAGACACGATGTATACCAACCATATCCAGGCCTGCTTTCACAGCCCGTATTGCCACCCGGATTGGTTCCAATAGSCAAACATCCTTCACAACCCGGGGCACAAAAGCCTGGACCTTCTCCACGTACTCCTCTATTTTCTGCCGCCAAACCCCATCCAGTGGCTTCAGCGTTACATCGTAGTAGGCATCCTTCAAAGTTGCCAATGGATCTGGGGCAAAACACATTCCGTTAATGAAAGACATTTAGTTCTGATCACTCGCATTCCAAGCACTGTACGTGCAGTGCTTTTTTTCAAAATAAATGTAAGGAACACTTTGCAGTAAGCCACCCTTGGAGCTGCACACACAGCCTGCACCTGGCCAAAGAATAAGGAATAACAGGACAGTTGAAGCAAACTAATCATCTCTTAATCATCACTTTTGGTAAGAATCTGGTGGGGATCTGTGATACAAAGTGACATTTTACTCTTGCTGTGAGAATGGAAGCTAAGGGTGAATCACAGCCAACCCTAAATGGTGCCAGTATGGACCAGAGCCCATCTGATGAGTGAGCTAATGGCCAGCTGGGTAGGGGAGGAAACACTCCAAGCCTGTGTGAGRTCTGATGAGCAGAAACGTTCAACACTTAAAGAGGGCTCTGAAGAGCCCTCAGGACAGACGTGCTTGCCAAGGCACTGCCAGCAGGAATGCTCCAGCGTGGGAATCGGGGCTCTGTCCTCATTTGACAGAGCCCAGACTCCAAAGACAATTCTTCCTCTCAATTATTTCATTAGAAGGGCTGTCACACTGAGGTTACTCAGAGGCTCATTGCATCAAAGTTCCCTCCCTATAAATAGGAAGAGCTAAGAGCTTACATCAGCATTTTTTTGCTGGATCAAAATAGAAACTTYTATGTTGTTCAACCTCTTTTACACTCAGTTTTCCTTCCCCCCCCATAACCTTGCCCCTGTCATTCTCCCTGGGCAGCCATTCTGCTCAGCTTGGACGGCTTTTGCTTACTTTGCAATTCATTCTGCATTTGATGGACAACGTCTTGAATTTTATCCAGGTAAAGTGGGAGTTTGTTTCCCAGCGTCTCCCTGATTCCACTCTGCTTCCACACCCGGGCGGCAGCTCTGCCCACACCRTGCAGGAATCCTGCTGCTTCTTGCAAGGCTTTCCAAGGCCAGACAGCTGCTTCAGACAGGAAACCAACTTGCTGCATCTACAGGGGTTCCCAAAAGAGATGTCAAAATATGCAGCGATCACAAACAGATCTTTGCAGCATGTTTTTCCTTTGATTGGATCTCCAAAGATGTCATGTTTTTACTGTAGACCTCAAAACAGTCCCATTATTGATACTGAGAACTATCAGTTTTATCAGGAACAAAGATAGGTTTGATATCATCAAGTCTCTAAAAGCAGAGCTCGCACCATTCTGCGACAGTCCCAAACACCTCAGGGTTTGGTCAGCTGGAGAGCATTTTTAATGTGCTTTTTGTCTACACACGAACAGCAGGAGAACCAAGGATGAACCATTTAGATGTTTCAGTCACTAGACAACTGCATATAACGTGAGTGATTCTTACTTAACACTGGATGAGCGTCTTGGAGCAGCTCCACAGATCCTGTAAGGCTGCACATCTCGTGCCACACGGTTGTCCTATGATGCTGACAGCAAACTGCTCATTACTTACTGATCTCCTGAGTCTCCATGCATATCCATCCACCTTTGTCATCTTTTCCACTAGTTTGGCTTTCAGAAGTCTCCCAACTTCATTAAGTTTATACTGTAAGAAGATGAACAAAAATGTGGATTTTATGATTTAAAACTGCTTGTGCTGGGTCTAAAATACTTTGAGTCTGTACTAGCTTAAATGCTAGTAAAGATCCATGGTGACCTCTGGTTGCTTGGGGGAAATGACCTTCACATCATTCATTACTTAGAAATAGGAACAAAAAAGACCAAGGATGAAAGACTCTGAAGACTCTGCAGGCTTCTACTTTTAGTTTTGCAGCCAACACAGCAAAATACCACCCCTACTGCTCGCCTTAACCTCTGCAGAGAAGAGGTCACAGACATTAGGAGAGGCTCCCAGATTTCCTCAGCTTTCTAGATATGGCTGAACCTTTTAATTCACATAATAGTATCTTTTTATACCAAAGCAAAAGATAATATTACTAAGAATTACTAGATCCTCCCATCTGCCTGGTCATTCGCCAAAAATCACAAGTGAAACCCGTCTGGAAGGTGCTCCATGAAACTGATACAAAACAGTATTTTGGACAAGTCACACACACCTAAGTGCCACTGAAGGGTCTCACCTCAGCCTTAAGAAGCGAATCCCCACATCCATGAGCCAAGAAACTCAAACTTCCATTAGCAGCTGTTAGGATCAGCTGTCCCAGCTTTTCTTGCCGTTCACCATTCATGTTGAGATAGGCATTCACTGCAGCCATGTGCTGCACAGAGGAGCAAGCACTGACTTCCACTCCTTCCTCTAAATCCCCTTGGAGAGTGAAAAAGGGATCCTCAGTTACAGGAACTACATCAACAGACATTGTTTGAGAGCCATATTACATAGGTGTTCAGTTAGTGTACGTGAGAGTTACATGTTTGTAGAGAAAACCTAGAGATAAATCAGAGAAAATCAGCGTAGCTTTGTTATGTGATTTTCTCCGTGTTCTTTGCAAATGCTTTAGAAATAGAGATTTGCTGCTGCACAGAAAACAGTGAAATTACAGCAGGCAAAATGATTCTCTAAGCTGCCAGACTGGCAGGCTTCTTTCTAGCGAGTGCTGCTGCTCCTCGTGCTGAAGTTTCCAAAGCGCTTACACTATACATGAGAGCCAGTGTCAGTCACTCACCCACCCCAGAGTCACTGGCAGCAGCATCCAAACGGCCACAGCTTGACCCACCATGCAAGTGAGCTACCTTGGCACTACACCGCACCTTCCTCACCCAGCCTCTCCTCCTCCTCCTCACCATGCCAGCGAAGRCACCTACCTTTCAGGTAGCCCATGTAGTACCGCAGACACCCCTTTCCTTTGGAAGCAGCTACTTTTACTTTCTCTTGCTGATCAACAATCCCCTCCACCAYGATTTGGCTCTGAACAGCTGAGGAAGAAGTAGTTCCTGTCAGGCCTAGCCAAACATCTTCAAAGGCTTTTAACTGCAGCCATAAAGGAAAAACACATTTACTCCAAGCC